TGATTTGTCATTACAGAAGCATGGTACTGTGTAACTCTAGGGTAATAGTTTAGGTCTGCCTGAGGAACTGGCAGTTCAACTGCACCAGTGATGGATATAGAGTATGATTTGCCTGGTCTCCAAGTAAATCTAGTCATCTATCTTAGCTTCTATGTCTGCTTAAAGCAAGGGTTGGCAGCCAAAGCTAGGCTTAATGTATACAGGAGACACAGCAGAATCACTTTCACACATAAAACAGGGCTTTTAGCCATGGAATAGCCAACAGCAGAGTGCTAATAGCAAACATTTTCTATTATGTATTCAAGAAACAACTTCTGTTTCTTATATTCTGTTCTGTCAGTCATCACTCTCAAAAGTGAAGAATTTTGGTCACAAGCTTTGTCTCACTTGCCAATTTCAGGAGAGTTAGATAACACAGGAAAATTCAATTGCGTCAGATGGGTACAAGGAATCAATAGTGGTTATTCTAAGAAATTTGTCTTTGTATTCCAACTGCCAGAAATGCTGGGCAGGACAAGTATCTCCCCAGCTATCTACAGTTAAGTCCTCACTTCCAACTAGCAAGTACTACTATAGAGGTGTTATTTTGATTACTTACCACAAGCACTCTCATCACTGCCATCTAAACAGTCTTCATCACCATCACATTTCCAGATTTGAGGAATACAGCGTCCATTACCACATGCAAACTGGGATTCTTCACATTTTGCTCTCGCACCTTCAATGAAAAAAGGAACTTAAGCTCAATACTGTTAAGCAATACCTTCCCACTTTACTTACTGATCGAGAAGTTACCCAGCCTAATCAAGAGCATAACATCAACATGAAACAAGATCTGAGCTCCAAATTTTTGCAATCACCTTATTCAATCATGGAAGTAGAACTAAAAGCTTTACTTCACAGTACAAGAGCAGAGTTCAAGCACCATAACCATCCACCTGCCAAACAACAGCAGTCTCAGTGTTATTCTTACTCAGTTTTCCACTTCAAGACAAGGTCAAGCCTGCAAAAATGTGTGCCCACAATTACCTTTGCTGTCTCACACCTAGCATCACAGTCTCAAAACTCTTCCAACTTTAAACAAATTTGGTTTAAATTTTATTAATGTCAAGTTGGATTAGCACGTCAATGCTTTGCTGCTAACACATTACAGCAGAATCCCCAAGACATCTGTAAAGGTAGCTTAGATAACTGCTTTGTAGCTGAGCAAGTTTTCATGCTCTATGTTACTCCTCCAACAGTGGCATCCAGAGACATTCCTTGGTATAGATCAAAAGAAATGTGATGCTAAAAGAGCTGAGTAATTAATCACTTAATTCTGGAATGAAGTCCATTGTTTCACAACCGGTAAGTCTTGATTTGCTAGTATATTTGAGTAAGATACTGCTTTCTGTAAGATCCTTAGAGTGCATTTTCCAGTGTATCTTCAGCTCTAAACTGTATGACCCCATCCCTCACGGGAACATGCTTTGTCTTGGAAGCCCTGTTATAACTGTCACTGAAAGCAGCAGCCTGCATCTTCAGCAGCTAAGCCAGAGCTGTTCCACTTAATGCACACAGACAAGTGTGTAAGATTGTGCATCAGTATTGGCTGCACATGCCTACAGCATGATGCAAGACTCCTGATCCTTCTTGGTTTATTGCATCATTTAGTGAGAGTGCTTTGTCCTGGCATTCCAGAGCTCAGAGGACATAAAATTGTAGTAGAGTATTATTTGCTATTTTTATATCTTCTCTGTATGACATGCAAAATGCAAGACAGTTTCCAAGCAGAAGGAAGGTACTCGGACATTTTACATTATACTGGCTAGCCATCACACATGAGGTACTAACAGATGCTGGACAGTAGAAGCAAGAACAATATGAGTAATTTTGTCTGCTGAATGTCTCATGTAAATCCATGATCAAAAAATGTGAAAAAGCACCTTACAGAGTTCTGCTAACGTTTTAGTAGCCTTACTGAAGCAGTAAAGCAGTAACGCAGTTGTTAGAACAAAGTTAACTTTTTCATGGGAACTGTGTTCAAAAAGTACCAAAAATCAGAACATCAGCAGCTTTTGTGTATACTGTTTCTATTCCTATTTCCTTCTCTGGTTGGGAATTACACCAGCATATGCTTCCTAATAGCATGGGTTTTGTAAAGCTACTGCTGCTACTTGGTCATGAGTTGTCAATCAATTCGCTTGCCTTGAGCTAGACAGCACACCCCAGCCACCACAGAGTGCGAGTAGATGCAACAATTAGAAGCTTGTTCTAAGCCTGATACCTTGTTGTCCAGCAACCTCTAAAAGAAGGTTAGAGTTGTGAGTCTTGGTCACATATTTCACTACTACATAAAATATGCAACAGTTGACTCTTGCTAGTTTCAGGACTTCCTCATCCAAGCGTTCAGAGTGAGAACAGTCAACCTTTCCCAAAATAGCATACAGAGATATTAGACTAAGCCTGCCACTAAGGAGATCCCAAAATAATTCCATGGCCCTTAGTTACTCTGTTTCAAGCTAGAATAACCAGAAAAGGCTTGCTAAGGCTGCCTAGAACATTGTGTCTTACAAATGTAACACCATTTTGATCAAATGCTACAGGGAACCTACACACAAGGCTAACAGAAACCATAGCTGAGCTTGGAGTAACAGCTGCAACTTTACAATTACAATCCTAACAACAAGCCATTCTAAGAATATATCATTGCTTCTGCAGCTGATACCAAGTGATATGTCAGGGCACTACTTTTAGCCCACAAACAAGTAAAAAAATCGACAAGACCTAACACCTACACAGGTGCACAAAGGTAGAGGTCAGCATCTGCTACTGCTCCTGAAGATGTCTGTCAGACTCCAACAGACTTGAAATGAGCTCCAGTTAAGATGGTTAGTTACAGTCAGTAACTCTGATCCCCTGTCCTACACCAAGCACCAGTCTACAATGCCAGGTAACCTATTTAGTTAGATACTACCAGTCTAATCCACTGCTATTTAAAGCAATGGAGTCATACCTCAGCAGCAGCTTCAGTTACTTGACACCTAATGATTTTTGGATCAGCATCAATTAGCCACTAATTCAAAGCTTCTCTTTATGTGATCTTCTTACAGTAGAAGCACCTTCACATGTTTTCTCTTCCTTGTAATACAGCTTAGGCTAAAAAATGTCAAGAACCAGTAACATCAGAGCCTGTGATTGCTAACACATATTATTTTACTGTTCCCCAGGTAACTACTTACTAGAAGTTGGCTCATAAGCAGCAGTAGGGTGTAGGGTGAAGGCACACAGTTACACTGACTACTCAAGTTAAATTACCTTTCTCCATATCTCTGCTACCACTGTTAGTTTCAGCCCCTTAAGCAAGTCGGCAGGTTACTTTTCTGGTCAGCTTCAAACATGTGACACTTGTGTACTGTCATCTGACACCAAGTCCCAGAAAAGCTTCCAACCGTGATTGGGAAACATTGCGACACCTCATATAGGAGCTAGCTTAGACTTTTCCCAGACCCTGGCAATTGCAACTACTAATAGAAGAGAGCTGATGAGACCACTAACGCAAAGCAAAAGAACAATCAGAGTAACTTGGTTAACTGGCCTACTAATTACCCTCCACTGCATATCTCTTGTGATTACTTCTGAGCACAGTGAAGCAGCAGTTTAAGTGCCAGCCAGCTTGGTCCTTCATTCGACAACTGTTAACCATGCCTGTTGCAGAGCAGGCATGGGAGACGAGAGTGACCAAGCGGATATTTGTCCTCTCTCTTTGTATGAGGACTGGATACAACAACGTGCTGGTGGGGCTCTTCCCAACATACCTGGAGTCTGAACTACTGCACATTGTTACAGAAAACACCGCCAGGATCAGACACTTAGGCCTACTTTAGGACAACAGTCAGGAGATTTAAGAGCCATACAACAATGAAGACCTCAACTGCCCACCTCCTACCTAGGAGAGCAGGCTGAAGCTCAGGTCCTCAGGGAAGAAAGGAGTCAGCCAAATGATTACTACCTCCACTTAAGAGTAAAATATTTTTAAATAACCATCCAACTGGCTCAGTGTGAAGGACCCCTGTCAATAGGGGCAACAGTCTACGGCGGGAGGCAGCCCGGGAGCTGGCCACGAGCAGCGCTTCTGGCGAGCGCCCAGCCCCGGGAGCAGGGACCCAGCCTCGCCACCAGGTGGAGATCCCTCACGGTGGTTACCCCGGACCCCGAACAAGAGCCATGCCAACAACGCTGGATAACACAAAGCCTAAGTTGCACCGCAGTTTGACAGCACCTTTAACGCGGCGAGCTTCCCAAGCGCTCCTCTTTCCCCTCCACAATAGAGCCCCAATCCTCCTCGACGCTCTCGCGTTAGCTCCAGCCCTTCAGACCCTCCTTCTTAGTACCGAACAGGAAGCCGGGCCCCTCCCGCAGCAGGCGGGTGGCTCTCAGGGCTCGGTCCCCCCTCACCGCTCCCGGGCCCCGGGGAGAAGGCGGCGCTTCGCCCAGCACGGGGGCGGCGGGGCCGGCGCGGCGGCAGCGCCCCCCTGTTCACCGGGGCCCGCCCCTATTCACCCGGTCCCCCCGGGGCAGCGGGCAGGCAGGCCGAAAGAGCCAGGCAAAAGTAAAGGGCGGTGGGAGATGAATCGCCGCGGGGGGCAGCGGCGGGAGCCGCCCCGGCGTTGCGGGCCCCAGCCCGCTCCCCCGGCCCCGCACTCACCGTCGGCGGCGGCGCGCAGGCAGCCAAGGGCGAGCAGCAGCAGCAGCGCCCAGCAGCGCGGAGCCCCCCGCCGCTCCGCGCCGCGCCTGGCGGCCGAGGCGCTCGGGTCTCCGGGCTCCCGGTCCAGCCGCATCGCCGCGCCGGGGACAGGGTGCGCGGGCAGGCAGGCGCTGCGGGCGGAGAGCCGAGGAGCAGAGGCGGCAGCCGGAGACATACACGGGGGGAGGCCGTCCCCGCGGCGCTCTTATAGCAGCCGCCCGGCCGCCCTGCGCGCCCGCTAGTGACTCACGGCGCCGCGCCGGGCCCCGGTTGGCTCGCCAGCACCGCCCGCCCCCGCTACCTCCTCCGCGGCACCTGCTGCCGCCCGCCGCGCCCGCACACCGCTGGCGCGGCTCGGCGGGGCACGGGCGGCGCGGTGAGTGGCGCTGCGGCGGCGCGAAGCGGTGCGGTGCTGCGGGCAGAGCCCCCGCGCCCCCCCGCCCGGCGCTCCTTCCGCAGGGCGGGGAGGGGACGGTGCGACCCTGCTGCCAGACCCCGCACCGGGGCGGCGGAGCGCGGCAGTCCCGGCGGGAGAGGGTCGGGAGGCGCGGCGGCAGCGGCGGCTTTGTTTCCCCCGCGTCTTCCCAACGCCGCTGCCGCCGGCCGCGGGGAGGGGGATGCGGCTCCCCCTGTCCGGGCGTGCCGAAACCCGCGCTGCGCCCCGGCTGCCTCCGAAGAAGCGTTTCTTCCACGCGGTGCCCACCGCCCCATGCGCACATGATCGCCTGTTTGTGCGGTTTTTCCTCCCTCCGTAGCGGAACTTGATTGAAAACGAAGCAGGCGCTTCTGCTCGATCCGATCGAGTGATCCTAGTTAATCAGTAATTTTGCAAAACGATATGTCAAAATCGTGTAATTACAAGCTTAAAGTTTTGTTTAAGGAGGAGAACTGGTCGTTTTATGCCACGTTTGTAGCGTTTTATACATCCAATTACGTCTCCGTGAAATGTACATTGAAAAGAAGGACTGGTAAAATGCAAGTTGCGTTTGCACACGGCACCCTTAGAATTCGAAATTGTGCTTTCTAAAATACTCCGCTTTCTAAAAAAAAGTATTTTTATAGACCTGCTAGTTCATGGTGGGATATGTGCTGTGTGGTGTGCTTTTAATGCTGTTGTGCAGATACAAACCTCAGCAAACATCTCCATCCAAAAACGATGAAAAAGCTGGTTGCTGTTTCTTCCCTTGGAAATGAAGTCTTGATTTGTTAGTCTAATACTTTAAGTCTTTTCCAGTAGCATGAATGATTCCTCCAGTGAAGCGAGTATTTTTGATTTTCCGTGTTTCCTCAATGTCATAACATATTTCTTTGTATGTTATTTGCAGAGTGAAGCTCTTTTTGATTCACATCCGGTTGTATCATGACTACACTAGAAACAAACCGTTCTACTGCATGAATAACTTTGGAGTGGATTATCTCTTGCAGTTCATGTAATGAATGACTGCACACACCATCCAAATGGGCAAATAGTTGGTGTATCAGAGACTTGTTTAAAAAGTTAAGATTTGATTTTGTGTAACTGAAATACATCTGGAGATTATTTTTCTCGTATGTGTGTAAATATGAAGAGAGCAGTTCCTAGTGTTTACCTTCCTACAGCTCTTCCACTTCATGGCCTCAGGGGCAAAGACTGCTTTCCCAGCCTGCCTGGTATGTGGCATTAGATGCTACAGCCTTGTTCTTGCTAACATATGCTGCTTCAAGCAAGAAAAATCTTTTGTGTACACAGGGGTTGACTGGGCTCCTCAAGAAGGTGTCTTAGTGTAAGTAGTATGTTGAAAATATAATTCCCCTTGCAGATGTACAATACAACATACTGCCTTCAGTGCTCACTACTGCATGGTCTGCTGTGCTTTGAGCTGAACAGCACTTTCATAAAGGTCCTGTTGTCATTACAGAAATATTTTATAAGCCATTTCCTGATATGCAATTCACAAGAAGACTCTAGTCATGGAGAAATACAAAGCTGGATCTGGGTAGCTGACGGCCTTCCTTGCTTGTCTGTAGAATATATGGGTTTACTGGAGGGAGAAAAATTATTCTTTGTGCTCTGCATTATGGCTGCTCCACGATCATCTGTACCTGGCTTTGTGGTGGGGGTCCAACTTTCTATCTGGGATGTAACTAGCTCTTTGCACACCTCAGGGTTTGGACTCCAAAGCAGAACTTGGTATAAAGTAATTTTTGTAATTTCAGCTATATTAAAGTGCTTCAGTAAGTTAGTGTATGAATCTTACAATCCACAGGTTTTGGTGGCATCTCCATAAAGGGATCTCAGACAGAAAATTTTTCTCCATCCTTAGCAACATCCTTACAGGAACTCTGTTCAAGTGAGGGGCAGGAATCTGTATGCTATGAGGTGGTCTGCAAGATGGTGCCATCTGCACTGAGGTTTCATGCCTTTGCAGCAACATTAGTCTTTCAAAGGCTTTCTTCATGTGGGAATGGGAAGATACCTTGTGGGGTCTGCAGTGTGTATAATGAATAGAGAGTCATGTGTTCATACAAGGATACAAGCCAGAATATATCCATACAGAAGAATAGAATAAAATTATGGGTTTCTGTCTGTTAAAAATATGCTCATGGGAGAATAACAGCCCTACTGTGCTAGTGAGAATATAAGAGCAAAGCATGTATGTGGTCTAAGGTTTAGGAAGGGTGCTGAATTTTGTAAGGAATGTGAGCTGCCTCTTGTAATTGTAACTGCTTTATTCGTTTTGTTGGGGAAAATGCATTAACATTTGTTTGTTTCCATTAGTGACCTGCAGTCTTTGTCTTTTTGCAATACATATTTGAGTTTAACTTCTTTGGTTCTGGGGAAGTCAGGAAGCTGCCGACAGCAGGTAGATAAGAAAGTGCCCAACCTCAGTACAGAGAGGAAGTGTGTAGGGAAACCTGGCATTGCCACCTCAGTTAAGCACGTTCTCACAGTCAAGTGGTATATGGTATTGAATATAATGCATAATTGTTTTAGTACTGCTTATTGTTTTTAGCAAAGTCTCCAAGTCTCCACCCTATTTTCTGGCTGTAACTGGTGAATGTTCTTGAATATGAGATGTTGCCTTGGAAAAGCTGGAAAGTACTGTCAAGAAGCTAAGCGAACCACTTACACATTGCCTTCACCTTAAAATATGATGCAACAAGAAAAGGCATCGTATTACCTTTCCTTTTGGAATTGTGGCAGATATTGGATCCCTGAGATTTTACAATATCAATTCACTGGTTAATGCATTTGGATTTACAAAAAAATGGATAAGTGGTCCCATCCTTTGGTCTGGATCCTTTGGGATAATTAAATTACTCTGTTGGTTATAGAGTGTAAAGTCAACTTACAAGAAAAAATAAAGAACAAAAAGGATCTTCTGGAGTACATGTAACGTGAATTCACTGTGTTTTGTTCCTTTCTCTTATTGCCTTAAAGACCATATAGCCTCAATTTCTAAATGAATTCCTGAAGCACTGGGATTACTAATTCAGCCTCAGTTCTTAAATCAGCAGGACTTTTGCATTCAGCACCTTTGGTGAAGGACATGATGTGAGGATGTGCCTACAACATTCAGCCTAATCTTTTAAGGAAAAGGAAAGCCTCATGGGTAGAAAAAGCAGCAACTATGTATTATGAGATAACACCCTGCGTTAGGATCAGTTGCAGAAATATTTTCTTCATTGCGTGCTGGTGTTAAAGGCATTAACTGCTTTTGAGATTGCATGCCTGAACTTGCAGTAAATGAAGGAGGTGTGTTCATGGCTGTATTTTGGACATGCAGAACCAAGATCTGTATTACTGACTTCAGATGAGTTGTACAGAGGATAAGAGAAAGCGAATGTATCCTTTGGGAATATTATAAAATAGGTATGTGCATGAATCCTGATTCATGTGATTGTGTGTCTGAATCTGAGGGATAAATTGGCCTATTTTTTCTTTTTCGAAGGCTTCTCTGCAAATTGTGTGAAGGTTTATACTCTTGTTAAAAAGTCCTGCTCATGTCCATGTTCTGTGTTCTGTCTACAGCTTTACACAAAAAGAAGGGGAACAAAGAAACATATACACAACTTTCCAGTAAAAATGCACCATTCCTGTGTTCTTCAAGATATCTAAGAGTGAATCAGGACTCATAGAAAAGTCCTGTTTACCCACCATCATTATATGAGCTGTAAAAATAAGACAGAACTTAAGTTTCACTGGTGATTTTAATCCACTTTTTAAATTTTTAAAAAAATTTCTAGTGGTACAAGAAATAGATAGTTCCTCTCTGAAGGAGCCTAGAAAATACTTATTTCTTTTGGTTGTATTCTTCACAATGACAGAAAAAAATGGATACAGTTGCCAATATCAACACCAATTGGAATTCGCTGCTGATTCCTGTGAGGACAGGATTTCGTCCTCTCTTCTACAAACCGGTCAGTTTTCTTTGTATAGTCACTTATTAACAAGGCTCCCCTGTTGTGAGCATGTGTGATATGAACATAAATGCATTTTTCTTAGTGTTACAGTACTAAAAGACTTCATAACAGCTATGCTATGTTAGGAACGGAACCTTGGAAGCATTTAATTTGTTTTCAAACCACAAGTTTGATTTAATTGGTGGTACTGTGCAGTGTGTAAGCCTGGAAATGAGAGGATTTTAAGTCATGCTTTGGAACCAAAATTTCCATTATCCTTTTTGGTTTGTTTTTTTTTTTTCTTTTTTTTTTTTTCAGTAATATGTGATAAAACTTTAGTTGTGAAATAAGTGCCTCCATTTCTGCCAGATGTAGCATAGAATGTGGCTTCAGAATATACCTGTTGCTACCGCGCGGGTGTGGTGGGGGAAGGGCTTTGGAAGGGCTTTGGGAATGGGAAAGCTGAGAAGGATTCATTTTTGTATTTCCCTGAGTTTCTAGAAAGTTTCACTTCAGCATTTTTATGTAACCCCACCCTTACCAATTTTGCAGCTGTGCACTTTTTATATGTATCATTAGAAGTGAGAAACTCTTTAGAATATCATGCCCTGATGTGACACCAATTCTGTATGGTTAGTAATAAGCCAAATAAAACTTGATCTTGCTATACGGCAAGATTTATTATACATAAGTATATTCTGATCGGATTTTTCTATGAGAAAACTTGCTAGGATGAAAGCATATAAAAATTCCACTGAAAGTGCATGTTTGTAAAGATTTCCAATGGAAAATGACGAATTTGAAATTTGATTTTCTTTCATGTTTTTCTTAATATGTTCACCTTCGTGGAAGTACACATGTGTTCACATGGTAAATCTGATATTTCTGTTCCAAAAAGTTCTATAGTGGAGAAGGATATTAATATTTGTTTTCTTCTTTACTAAGGATAAAAAAATGATGTGTTGTATGTTAGAAATAAGAAATGAAATTATTTTAGTGGATTAAAACTTCTGATTGTGGTGTTGTGCCTGTATAACATAGAAAATAGATGGGGGAGCAAGGCATTACTGGCAAGCTTGGAGTGGGCCGTGATGTTCTTGCATTATTTTGGGTGCATTTAGATTTGGGGGATAATGTGGAAACATAATACAGTGTATTATCCTAAATATAGAAATCCCAGAATATGTTCTTGGTTCAAACAAAAGGTAACAGGTGGTGCACAGAAAACCTGTGTGTACCTGTGTGTAAGAATAAGCAGCTGAGGACCTTGCTGTAGAAATTCTCACTGTTCTGTGCAGACCGACTATGGAACCTGCTGATCAAAAAAAGAACAAACTAAGGATAGGGTGCGAGAACTGCCTTGGGCTCATCAGTTATTTGGTCTTAGTAGTGGATTGTGTTTTCCATGTCCCATAATTCTTGGAAAAATGATTTGTTGTTACACTCTGCATTGCCTACTCACATTTTAAGTGCAGATATAATTTTCATCACTAAGGATATTGTAAACTCTTGCCATTTTCATTCATTAGCCCTTCCTCTTCTCCATATGTTTAAGTTTCACAGTCTTTTTTTGGATACTCTTGTTAGAGAAGTGGTGTAATATTTGACAGGCAAGTGGACAAGCTTGTCTCTGCTGGAGGTGGTATTTGGCAAGTAGTGGTAGACAGATTTATAAACCAGAGGAAATGCAATATAACAGCACTCTCTTACATTTTAACTTACATTGAATTGATGAGTTCTGATGCCTTTGCCTCTATATGCAAGATAGTATTGTTCTGCATATTGAAATATTGTTGGATTTTGCTTATGAGGAAATTGCTTCTATGAAATTAAATGAAATACAGTTTCTGATTTTATTTCAGTAGCATAACGTATATAATAAAATGTGTCACCCTATAGCAGTACATAGACTTGAACTTCAATTCTTCAAGATGAAAATCAACTTTCTTAGGCCTGGGCCATCTTAGGGCATAACAGATAGGATAGATACAAGTATATTCTATCCTTCTTAGGTAAATTATTTCGTTGTTACGACTTATTTCAAAGGGGAAATGAGCATTTCTTGATTATTTTTTGCTTACAATGAGACATTTACTGTAAACCTTATGAAGAGTATGCTGATGTCTTGTTTCTGTTTTACTCAGTTTACTTCTAATTTGCACACAGAATTTTTTTATTCTGTTAGTTTTTGTTCCTGATGCTTCTGAGACTGAGACCTGTGTTCAGTGACTGTGCCTGACATTATTCCCTGTCCTCTCTTGCTGTCTTTTTTCCAAGCTAAACTAGCCAAACTCTTTCAAACTCTTTGCTGTTGAGAGACTATTCCTCTAACCATTGTGATTGGGATCGTCAGGCCTGCTCTCAGCTTGAATCCACCTTTCCTGGGTTCGACTGAACAGAAAGATTGCTGGTGCTCCAGGGCTCAAAGAGCTCCACAGGAGGACTTTTTCAAGTCTTCTATGCTGACATTAAGCTGATGCTGACCATTTTCCCTGCTGGAAATACCTTGACCGATAGATATCGTGTGCTCTCCCTGTGACTGCATCAGATGGTGTCATGGTCTCTAGTGTACATACCTACCTACCCTAAATATTTATCTTGGGGAGCAAGTGTACCTTTATAATCACAGGGGAGAAATGGACATTTCTGCATGGCCATTCAGAGATGTTGATACAATTTCTATTATTTAGTTTGTATGTTGGTTGTCTGTTAAAGTGTGCTGTCCAACTTCATGTCCTTAATTTTGTTAACCTCCTTTCTAATTTCTAGATTATTGGTGATGATATTTAAGATTGGTGATAATACTATTTGATGGGTCCCATGGCTGATCACGTCTTAGTAAACTCCTTTATCCTAAAGTTTTCTTTTCACCATTACTCCTCATATACCCTTTAAGCTATACATGTTACTCCATCTGACAACTCTTGTTGTCTATTTGCTAAGCATTTTCTTCTTAACTAATAGTTTCCTCATTTCATTTAGATGTTAATCTGATTTAGATTCTTCAGAGTGATGTGTAGACTTGATCTAGCTAATAAGTTGAAAAATTCACATGGCTTGTTGAAAGAAGGAGTGAAGTTAGCTGGGTACAGTCAAATTCTGGTAAATCCTGATTACTTTCTCCTATTTTCCAAGCACACATGAAATTGATGAAGTTTTCTATTCTGTATTTGTTCTAAAACTTAGTATATTATTGATGTTGAGACTGTAGGTGACTGGCTGAGCAATTGGAGAAACTTTTCCCGTTGTCTTCTTTAAATGTAAACAATGTTCATTTCGTTCTTCCAAAGCATATCTTAGGATGGAGACTGTGCCTCTGCAAGATCTTTGGAGTTTCAACTCTGGTCCACTTGCACTGTTTCCTTTTACCATCCTACACTTGACAGCATATTGTAAATGCAGGTGAACCCAATGGGAAAAAATGACGATGTCTGACTCAATTCAGAAGGCTGAATGATTTCTTTATTTCAACTATGGCTGAAATACATTAATATATTATATAAAAAAGAAGAGATTAAAACTACATACTACTTTCTCTAACTCTAATACAACTCATCACCCTCTCTTGAGAGTTCAGACACAGGTGGATTGGATTGGATATTAGGCTCAAACAATCCTCATGAGAATCTAATCAAGCACTCACTCCAGATAAACAATTCTCTAAACACATTCTACATAAGAAAAACAAAGAACAGAAATATAAATTGTTTTCTCTTTCATTTCTCTCTGTACATCTGTATGAAAACTACTGAGAGGGAGAGAAATATACTTGCCACAACAGCATTGTCATTGTTCTGTTGAAAAGTGAATCAAGTATTAACTTAATTACAGATCTATACTTAGAGGATCTTTGATATTAATATCATATTCAATATGTGTGCAATGGACTTTCTTTTTTTAATTTATTAATACATTTAATGATCATTTCAAGGAATTGCAAACTCTTGAACTCTCTAGTTCTCTCAGGTTTTTAAAATTTGATCTTTGACAATAAACAACTTAATTAATTTGATTTAAAGTAAGTTGGCTGGTGATCATTCAAATGATATTTTACCAGTTCTGATGTGGAAAACTTAATAGGAAAAAACTCCTTAACTACACTAGTGTTGGTTTATTGGCTACCTGGTGAAGGTACACCATCATTCATGTGCTTGAAGTAGCCAGAACTGACAGCAATCAGTAGTATGTTTTTCTGCATATGGAAAGTTCAAGTAAAAATAAAAGGTTCTGACATATCTTTACACCATGTTATACTGTGGATCTGTGCCTGCCATCCTGTCTTGTAGCCCATATCAGAGCCCAGCTCTGTCTCATTAGAATCTGTGTGTTCCAGACTGATTTTGATCTTTTTTTCCTGAAGTCTGTCACATCATTAGTATGCGAAACTACTACACTGTTGTAACCATTATTTCATTTTGCCCAAATTCTTAAAAGTATAAGTAAGTATCTTTTCAAAGCTGTGTTTTTGTCATGGTTGCAATTTTAGCATGCCTCTGTTATTCCTTGGAGATCCATTTTATCGTGATCTCTGCAGTTAGTTTCAGTGTCAATACAGCATAGCATCTCCTATTACAAGAATATAAATTTTATTTGCATATAACAGGTGATTCTTTAGGCTTTTCAACTGCAACTACCTTCTCTGGTTTTTTTTCTAAGAATATTGCTGTGAAGATACTAAACGGCAGCAAAGGATATCTAGATTCAGTTTATGACTTGGCTTTGTAGAAATCTTTTTCAAATGTTCTTGTGCAGACCAGTTTTTTTGATGTCTCTTTGCCCAGTAAAATGAAGGAAAAAATGTCTCCATGTGTCAGAAGGCACTTCCAGGGTGTGTATTTATCAGTACTTGGCCAGGGCTTAAGTAATTTAGTAGCAAATACAGAAGAAATAGGATGTCTCAGTCCACAGCAGTTAATACATTGCCAGATTTTTTTTTTTTTTTTGAAAATGAAAGCTTAGAAAAATTTTAAAATATAGCAACCATTTTGTAGAATAAATGCTATCCATGCCTTTCCCAATAGTTATTATTATTATTGGAGCTCTTGGCTTATTTTCAAGTGAACACACACCACTATTCAAATTTTAAATTCATATTCATATATGTAAAAGGAAATAACTGCCACCTAGAGAAAAGGTTTTGTTAATAATTTCTGTTATGGGATCCTGCTTTCAAACTTTTATTAATTTAACAAAAAAATCTTGCTCTTCTGTTTGTTACCATATAGTTGAAGGAAACTGCTGTATTTTGGGAATTCATTCTGAGAATTCTCAGAATTCATTCATTCTGAGAATTCTCAGAGCTTTGGTTCTATGTTCCAAGTTTAGGACATGTGATTTGCCATTTGAAAACGAGGCTGCCGAGTGCTTTTCGAGTCTCACTGTCACATAAAACACACTACGTTTTCTCAAGTAATAGTATTAAAATAATGAGTCTCTGGTTCATATAGCTATGATTTTCCTACAGTTAGAATGGTGAATTCATCCAAGACCCCATATCATAACAATTACTAAAAACAGAGATTATACAAATCCAGTAATGGATGACGACAGAAAAGTAAGACTGCAGAAAAAGACACTGAAAGAGCTGTGTTAAATGGAGGACTCAGGAGATTTACAGTTGCAGACTATAAATAATTGCAGAGATAATAATATAAATGAAATAAGGGAATTACCTGCATTCTCAGTAGAAAGAAAGACAAGGTGCAATGGCCTGAAGCTGAAATAGGAAAATCTCAAGTCATAAGAGAATGTTTCTTACAATGAGAGTAATTGTGCAGTGAACTAGAAGGGCAGTGCAATGGCACTGCAGATGGGTTACTGAGGCTATGAGCGTTCCTGCAAAGTGGAGCTGGACAGATTAGGTGACGTAGATGAGCTTCACCAGCTGCTAGTTATTTCAGCAGCTTGCAAAAGTCAATCTGTTTCCCTACATCATCTTTATAAATCCTTCTACAGCTGCCAATCCTGTTGGGCCAATGGGCTATTGTGCTGAAATGCCTCTTTGCAG